AAAAAAATCTGAGAGAAAACATGCTTTACAAGAAACATGATAACAAAGAGGGGGAGCTACCTTCATCCTCTTCCTCTTCTTCTTCCTCTTCGTCATCCTCCATTTCATCTTCTTCTTCATCCTCGTCCTCTTCCTCGCTGTCTTCTTCTACCTCAGGAACAACCTGAACAAAAGTCTTAGTGACCTCTTACAAATGACCTGACCTAAATTTCGATAATTATTTGTCAGCATCGGACGTAGAATAACCGGGAAAGAAGGTGAGAAGAGAAGGAAGACAAGCCAAGAATTACAGAAGTAATGAAACACTGCACGTATCCAGCCCATACCGCTGCGAGTGATATGCGAGTCCCGCCCTATTCTGAGTCCGCGAGAGACAATGTTCTCTTACTAGAAACAGGAACTAGGGAATTAGAAAAATAGAAGCGAGAGACCTCGCTTTTTACAGATGAATGAAGAGAAATTTTCATGCATATGTGACTTTGAGCGTCGATTGATATAAAAAGTATGCAGTTGAAAACCTTTAACTATGTATTGAGGATAATGGAACGGGAAAGCCATTGGCAAAGTATTTTTTGTTACTGATAGTGACTTAAGATATTTGAAAACACATCAGCCATTGCTGAGATGTGTTTCAAAAGGTATTTCAAACACTTGCGTCCAATTGTTTCAATAAAAGAAATGGCCACATTTGCAGTGATTAGACATGGAATGAAATGATGAAAAAAGCACCTTCGAGGGCTTTGCACTCGCCTTCTTCTTCTCCTTCACTACAGTAACCTTTTCAGGCTCTTCCTCTTCCTCTTCTTCCTCTTCAAACTGGAATAAATTATTATGAGTAAAAAATTTGGCAAAACTGATAGCTGCACTTTAATCTTTATTCTACTGATACTACATGATTAGTAGACCCCCGTAAGGTGTTCCAAAATTACTCCATTTTCCCGCTTTTAGCAGGACTAGCATTGATGAAGTGAATTTTGAAGGTTCTCACGACAGGAGATCAACTTTGCTATTTCTGAAATATTCCATCAATCTCCAACGATGAGTCTGCGTTGAGGTCACTTCTGAACCTCTGTGATCTTTCGGGCTTTTTTTATAAAAATCCCAAATCCCTTAAAACCACTAAATACACTACATCACGAACGTTTAGCACAAATAGCCTCCCTGTCCATTGGCTCCCCCATCAAAGCAGAAACTACGAAAATAAGTCACAGTAGAGCTATTACAAGAAATGGAAAGAACGTGGAGCAAACAATTTGCAGTCAAAATTGGGTATGAAAGCAGCATTTTGCATGTAGGTCACAAATAATCAAACAAAATTCTTATGTGTGGTTGCATCTTCTGTAAAACAAAAGATTGCATATGATAAATCATTACTCTTAAAAACTTCATGAAGCAAGCAAAATGGTGAAATATCTATCTACTTCGCATTTTCCAAGCGATTCAAAAACGAAATTGAAATTTTGATTTCACAATAAAAAATAATAGCAGCTTTCGCTAGTATACATGTACAGATCTATTTACAACTAGACACTGATATAAAGAGCAGTGCTCATAGTGATGAACTAGAATCGATCCAAAGAAGCTGAATCAAGTTTATACGCTTCTCAATCTCTTTGAAGAAAATAAGAAGGAGATGTTAGAATATAATCATAGAATAAAAACTTTACATAAGAAACAAATACCCTTTTATGCTTTTCTTTTGCATCAACCGGCGTATTAGGAGCAGTGAAGTTCTTTTTGTGACCTGTAAAGCCTTTGTATGATCAAAGTGATTACGATTGTGTTGAAACACACATCTACCTCCCTCCTCCCTGTCCCCATGATGAAAGGGTTTCCTTTTTTCACTGAAAGAACCACGTGCTCCTCTGCCACCTCTGAATCCTGGTGATCCATTTCCACGAGGAGTGAAACTACCACGTCCGCCACGATTGTTAGGAGAAAAACGGCCTCTATTTGAACTAGATCCTCGGTCTCGGAATCCTTGCCCTCCGCCACCTCAAATTTCAGAGAAAAAGATGGTTGCTTAACAACATTGTATATCTTCTCAACCCACCTCGTCCGCGTTCGGCTGTTGATCCAAAAGACCTAACAGCACCTCGCTGGGTTCCTCTATCCGAAAAGGAACCAAAGCCACCTCTACCTCTGCCCGCTGGTGACCCAAAGCCACCTCTACCTCTGCCCGCTGGTGACCCGAAACCACCTCTTTGACCTCCACCACGACCTGGAAATTTCAGCTACACTTATTGTAACATTGATGGAACTTAAACTCCACGAAAAAAGCTAATCATGCATTAGTATGTTGTTAAGACATGGTGAAGCACAAAATCTAGCACAAAAACTCATAATCGTAGCTGCCCTCACCTCTGTCTCCACCCTTAAAACTTGGGGACTTCCCTCGATCCCCTCCACGGAACCCTCCTCGATCTCCTCCGCGAAAACCTCCACGAGATCCTAGCAAATATAAAATTAAAAGAGATATAGTGCAAATGAAGCTGACAAACCTCGATCCCTCGCTGGACTATCGTAACCCATGTTCCTAAACGATTTTTTACATTAAGAATAAGAACAGAAAACAAGGCGTTCCAAAAAGTGGAAACTGTTCGAAATCATATTAGAAGAAAAGCGAGTAAAATTAATAAGCCAACACAAGCATTTTCTTATAGATTTAAACAAAAGCTGAAAAGTAACAAATTAGCTCATGGTAGCATCGACTGTAAAAGGTGACCGCTCTAGAACTATATTTGCATTCAAGACTACTCACTCACACGTTCGGAACTGATTTAGCAACATGGAAGAAAAAACATTCGACAAATTTGAAAGCAGCAAGAGGCCTAATTCTTGACAACAAAACTTCGTGACAGTGTGCATGTTATCTTGTCAAGACCACGCTCTAGATGAATTGGCACGATTCAAGCACGTCCGTGCACGGATATTTAGATTTGCAGTTGAACCTATGCCTTTTTCAGGTAGTTTTATGTTGTGTCAAGCATTCAGACTTCTCATTTGTGGAAATCTCCTCTTTGTTTCATCAAGACTTTGAAGTGGTGGCCGCTCCTGATTTTTTTGCTGACGCTTCTCTCTCTACTTCTCGGAATTGGGTGCATTACTTCAAAATTCTTAGTATTCGGTCATGTT